ATTTGGGTTTGAGTGAGATATAAGGGCAGTATTTTGCTGACGGTGAAAACGTTCTACCATCCCATTAGCCTGTGGATGATATGCCGTGCATCGTATCCTATTGGAGCCTAGAAGTTTAGCCAAGTTAATGAAAAGTTTGAATCCGAATCGCGCTCCTCTATCCGTCGTAATTGTTGGGGGTGTACCGAAAATGGTCACCCAGTTCTTCATGAAAACCTTGGTTACTGTTTCCGCTGTGTTGTCCGCTATCGGTATGGCTATAAGGAATCTTATAAATAGATCTACGCATGTAAACAGATAATCAAAATCGTTCGGAAGAGGTAAAGGGCCTACTAAGTCGATATGCACATGGGTAAAACGCGCATCTGGTTGCGAGAAAACACCAATGGGTGAATTTGTGTGACGATTAACTTTTGATTGTTGGCATGCCGTACTTTCTCTAACCCATTTGTGTACATCCTTCTGCAAATTTGAAGCTTGAGACAAAGAATGGAGGTTAATAAATATCAACTTTCACATACTTTTGGGAACGAAAGGTCACGGTATTATATTTGTCGTGTCACAGTAAATTAGAATTACGTCGATAGGCTTTAGTTTAAGACTCGTAATGTTTGTTTTAAGTAGGGTTTTTAATTATTGATATTGCTATTTTTTGTGTCTCACTGTCTCGAAGTTTACTGTTGACTGCTGTAGGATGTCCATTTCTAGTCGAGATAAATCATCTGCCGCCTGATTGTCCTCACCGTTAACATGTCGGATATCACTTGTGAACTGTGATATATAGTCAAGGTATCAGACTTCTCGAGGTGAGTGTTTATTAGCTCTCGCTTTTATGCATCCGTTAGTAGTTTGTGAATCCCTTGCTTTCTAACATTTGCCGGAAGTGCTTAATGGTCAGGTAGATTGCAAGAAGCTCTCGCCCGAAGGTATAATACCTTGTCTATACTGGAGCGAGTCTTTTTTATAAGAAAGCAGTTGGTTTCTAGGCGTTTATAACTAGTTGGTTAACAGTACCGCCTATTGCTTTGTCCGAAGCATGAAATTCTAGAGTTCGAACACCGAAAACACACTTCCTTTGATGTATGTTCATTCCGTTTTCATCCAGCCGTTTTAACACTGTTCGTACATGCTGTTGGTGTGATTGTAAATCGGGACTGGCAATTAACAAATCGTCTATATATCCCTATGCAAATGGCATATCTCGAAGTAGGCTATCCATGAATCTTTGAAGTGTTTGTGGCGCGTTTCTCAAGCCGAATGGCATGCGTACAAACTCGAACAAGCCAGAACGTATGGTAGTAGCTGTCTTAGGGATATCTGCCTCAGCTACCGGGATACTGTGATATGCCCTAAGTCAATTTTAGTAAATGCGTTCGTACCCTGTAAACCGTCTGTGAAATCTTGGATATGGGGTATTGGGTACCTATCAGGTACAGTTTGACGTTTGAAGGCCCTGTAATCTCCGCACGTTCCACAATCGCCTTCATTTTTCTTTGGGATCATGTGCAAAGAAGATGCCCATTGACTTTCATAGGAAGGGATAATACCCAGTTGTAGCATGTAGTCAAATTCCTCTCTAGCGACTTCGAGCTTATCTGGTGCTAGTCTCCTGGGTCTTGCAGACACAGGCGCACCTTCGGTTTTGATCGTATGATTTACTGTTAGTTTGCTTTTGGAAGGCTGTTGGTTTGGTCTAGTTAAGTTTGGGAGTTCTGCAAGTAAATCCTGGAATTTTGCTCTTGCTACTGGAGGAGTTTGTAACAAGTCGAGAGATGTGATGTGTCTTTCTTCGCGTTTCGGGTAATCTGAAGTATCTTTCAGTGCTAAGCGTCGTTTTTTAGTGTCGTATCTCTCTAGAAAAACTATCCCCAGTATTGCCAGACCAAAATCGGCTACAGCGGAATTGCCTCCTGAACCCCAAATCTTGTGTTAAAGTCTTCTGCCCAAATGTCGCGATTTTAGTTTTATTGGCAGCTTGAATTTTAACTGAGGATGTTTCTCGACTCAGCTCAGTTTTATTTTGAGGGATGATACTAAGGGCAGAGCCAGTATCTATCAAAAAGTTCAAGCTGGACTTTCTGTCTTTAACATAAAACAAACAACTGTTTAGGTGCCCCTCCTCAGTTGTCGTGACCTGGGGATGGATTTTTCGTTTCCCATATTCTTGGGATTCTGTTTAGGCCAGGCGCATGGTTGCATACATCTGGTTGAGTTGACACCAAACTTCCAGTGATATCAACACAACTGCCCAGATTGTATGGACATTTTTGACCTGTTTTGTGACTTTGGTCTTGGTCGTTGTGATGACATGCTCCTAGTTCTATCACCCATTCACATTCTGGAGACAGTGAGTTCTTCTATGACTGGGTCTCTTGCCGGTTCTTTTTGTGTGTAATTTGTCGTGCGTGATCTAGTTGTAGGACCTCTTTCCAATATTCTATCGGCTATATGCGATAAAGAGATAAGGAAGTTTCAGGATCTTGTGCATCCAAACAGTGTCGGACGTAGCATGTGAAAGCTTGTATCCATCCTAGCTTTGGGACTGCTTCACTGACTTTGTTATCACTCATTAAGTCTTGGAGGTGACATAAAAACTGTGACGGCGACCTATCATCTAATGTCTCGCCTTGGAAAAGCCTTTGGATTCTTTGACCGTCTGATAATGATAAATGGTTCATTATCTCTCACCTCAAGATGGTGTATGATTGTGGTAATATTGTGTTTAAAATCACGTCAAGGACGTTTTTTGCGACTGAAGGAGGAAATATAGAAAATAAGTCTTTATAGCGAATTCCTTCAGATTGGATATTGTGTCTCGTGAAATAACGCTCTAGTTAAGCAACCCACAACTCGGGGTCACTACGATCAAATTCTGGAAGTGGAGATTTCGTGGTCACAACAGTGTGTATCTTCAATGGTGACAAATCCTCAAGGTTTTTGGTTCGCATTGAGTCTGTTATGAGGTACATGATCAATATAGTAATAGAATCAGCACGAAAAATAGTTACTGTAACACGAATACCTTAAGATAGAAAAAAAACTATGAATAAATTTGTATACTAAACTTTGGTTCCGGACAAACATAAGGTCTACTTTTACGACTACGTAAAATAATATTAAAAATAAAAATGAAGTTACATTTGTGTTCAACACAGCTCACCAGTTTCGTGCCCATAGGTAAACCTTGTTCTTTTGATAGAAGAAACTAGACTAGTAGTGAATAGGTCTTTATTTAAATCTCCTCGCAGTCACAGTGGAGCGTGGGATTACCTGTTCAGACAAACAAAACTTCTCAATATTCAATCTAAGACAATAGGAAATACAATGCCTATACAAAATAAGGAAGTGAATGAATACTTGAACTCCTAACCAATCAGCCTGAGCGGTTACAAGGGTTTCTACTTATACAAAGCTCCCCTTTAGGCTTGTAGGGAGCGTCCCATGCCTTGCTTAAGTCAGGAACTTCGCTATGCGTTTGAATATTTATTTTGAGGTACATTGTGTTGAATAGCATCTCTGTCTGTGGCAAGCAACTGTTGGTCTCTACCACTTTCGCGGACGTAGGGCATATTAAAGGTGCTCCTTCTTCGTCGGACTTCGTGTTTCTAATTTTTGATGTTTAAATGGGAATTATCCGTCTCTTGTACTTGTTCTTCACACAACGTGATGTTGTCAGTCAAATAAAGTTCCTCTCACATATAGGAATAAGGATGGAAGACGAGGCCTAAATTCAAAGTCACAAAATCGAACGCTCAATGTAGCCTTTAATCGAGACGAGGTACCAAAGGCTGTTAGCATTTTAAATACAGAAGAAGCAACAGGACCAGATGAACTACATCCTGAAATATCTAGGCAAATTGCACAATACATTGCTGCTCTACTGACTACGATACTCAATATGTATCTTGAATAAGGTGAGCTACCTACGAACTGGAGGGATGAAGTTGTCACTCCAATTCCTAAGTTAGGATCAAGACCACTCGCATCAAACTACGAACCTGTCAGTCTTACCAGTGTCGTAGTTATATCGGTGGAGATCGAAAACGTGTTAAACAGCGGACAAAACGGTTTCAGGAAAGGATAATATCGAACAGCAAACCTCCGTTTAGCAAGAGAGAAATGGAAAGTCTCCAGATAATGGAAAATGAATAGATGTTGTCTAGATAGTCTTCAACAAAGCATTTGATAAGGAGCCAAATAATAGACTGTCCTTGAGGCTTAAAAATCTAGGAATTACCAGATCTCTGCTTCAGTGGATCAAGGATTTCTTGGTAGATAGTAAACAGAAATTAATAAAAAATCACAAGTGCTCCTCCTGGAAACCAGTGCATAGTGGAGTATCCCAAGGCTAGGTCTCTTACCTCTGATACTGTATGTAAGTAAGCTAACAAGTGTGACTGGATACTCGATGCTACTTTACGCTGACGATGAAATAACAAGGGACGTAGATGCGTATGCACTTCAAGCGGACTTAGATGTTCTGGTTAGCTGGTCTCAAGAATGGCAGATGTTTGTTAACGCCACCAAGTGTGTCCACATTCCAAGTTTGTAGACAAAGGTAAACAGGTGTAGCGTAAGGGAACAGTCAGTGTCCATAGTCCGGTTTCACAAGGATCTTGTTTGACTGTGGTCCATGATCTTGAGAATACTGCCCACTGCTGCAATGCTGGAGCTAAGGGGTTTAGAACTCTATGGGCTTTAGGAAGGGCTTATAACAAGTTGGATACCAACATGTTCCCCGCAGTATACAAGACATTAGTGGGGTCTAAAGTTGAAAACCCTTATTAAAACGTGATTCGGATATTTGGAAAAAGTACAAATAACAACTACAAGTGAAATTCCAGAACTCCCGGGATTACCATACAAACAACGGCTTGATATTCTTATCCTCTTTCTCTGTCTTGTCGCAGATTTGTAAGTGATCTGAGTTTAGTGTTCGGCCTACTAACAAAAATTATATTCGTTTGTTGGCATTGAATTTTGGATAGTGGGCTTGAAATGGAGAGCGCAATCTAAAGGCTAAAACATGCTGTCAGATGATGCTATCCTCCCCGGATTTGGTTCCCTTTCTCTTAGCGATAACCCTACGGGTTGGGGTCCAACAGATATACCAGAAGAGTTTAGAAACATGCCTTTTCAACCATTTTCAAAGGATACTCGCTTAGGCAGAGTAAGCTTCCTCTGAAATAATTCTTTTCGTAATTGTTTAGGTTGCAGATTGGTCAGGAAATATTTTTCAAGATATGAAAAACAAAGGTTTCACATAAACTTTACTCTTTGAAATTTTTAGGTCGCTATGTCACTCAGTCTGTGGGTTCACAGTACGCTTACTATCATGATGAGGACGACAGCAATTTCCAACTAGTTTCTTCCGTTCGCGAGACGAAAACTCCCGCTATTCGTCAAAGATATAGATTCCCTATGGTAAGTTGAACCATATTAACCTCACACCACTATTTTTCGATCGCTTAAGAACAGTTCTAGGGTTTTTGATTCTAATGATGAGAATAAGTCACTCAGAAATATAACATCGAAAAACCCCTAAAAATTGCCTTGAGTCATGTACAGAACTTTTGTACTCTTCAATATGATTTTCAAGGTAACAAAACATTTGTGTGCAGATTGTTTTTTACTCAGTTACCACCTTCCGTTCCTCATGTACGTAAACTATGTTAAGTATATTCCATTATTATGTCATGTGTTTGTGACTGGACGTTGTCATTCATCTTCCGTTTTCTTTGTAATAAATAAATCACGTTCAGGGATATCAGTGGGGTTTGCCAATGATACATAAGTTATCAAATAAGTACATTACTAATCTAGTTTTGTTAATGCTTTTAGTGAAAGCAGAATGTTTGAATCATTTCTAACATTTATTAACTGTAAGTCAGTGCCTTAAAACTTATTTTCAAAGTATTATGAACTTGTTCTACCTGTAATATGCTTCCAAACTTCGATTTGTGTTTCAAAGAAATGACTGGCGGCCTATGCCAATCTAATAACTTTCTGTTAGTGTCTAGTCTTTTCTTGAAATAACAAATTGATGACTTAGTGAGAAAATCTGTACGCCACCGGCACTCACTTCGTTTTTGGCCTTTTGAACTCGCCTGCTATATTTTGATCTGGTAAGGAAGAAAAGAGGATGTGACCATGCCTCGGTCACTGGTGAATGTTCGCTTTAATGTTGCTCTTGATTCCCAATATCCCCTCATACACAACTCTACCCGTGTTATGTAATCATGTCTTCAATGTTTTGTCTAATTTTGTTTGCTACTACATAATTTTGACAACCTCACTACTCGTTTCATTAATTTTGTGTCGTTTTTTTTAATGTAGGAAAGCAACTTTAGTAAACATTTGTCCCAGGCTCTACATGATGACTAATTCCGTATCTGCAACTAGCTTTTCTGAATCCAGTTTACAACCTTGGTGGATTGTTGATATTTTCTAAGCGTGGTCAGCGTTCTCTAGTCTATTATATATATAAATATTCACTGAAACACTCAGAATTCGGTTTTTCATTTATTGATTTCAGCGTGGCCGCCGTGGTTTGGGTGGTCCAGGCTCAGGATATTCTTGGGCAGGAGGCCGGTCAGGATATCAGATGATTGGAAACCAGGGTGGTGTAGTAAACCGTAAGCTACGCAATGCATCAGACAGAGAACGTATGATGTTACAACAGAATAGACGGTGGCAACACTGGGGCCCCCAAGGTGTTGGGCAGCGACGAGGGGGGACTCAAGGTTGGAGATCCAATGCAGGTGCTTGGGGCTCTAATATTGATCGCAGGCAGGCCCACAGGGCAGTGCGTGATGCATCTATTCAAATTAAGGATAATTGGACGATGTTGGAAGAGCTAGATTTCGCTAGACTTGCAAAGTTGGCCCTACCTAACGTAAAGGAGCCCATTGACAAGTGAGTATTTTTGCATTTGTTGCTTCTGATATAATTCTCAACTGTTGTAACAACTTAATTTATTATTTGTAGGGTTAATTGTGGAGAAATGGAGTATTATGACAAATCATATGATCGCGTTAGCACGCGAAACGAACGTCCTCTTGTAAGAGTAAATCGGGTTCTCCATACAGTTACAACCTCCAGAGACCCAGTAATTCACCGTTTAGCTAGCGACTCCGTTGGCAAAGTTTATTGCACAGATACGATTGCTGCCATGATTATGTGTTGCACTCGTTCGGTGTATCCTTGGGATCTCATTGTACAACGCATACAAGACCGTTTGTTCTTTGATAAGCGCGAAGATACTGAATCTGGTAAGTTTGTATGTTTTTGCAGAAAGTATTTGAACAATGATTGGGATTTATTTATTATCTTATTAGATATTTTAACTTATCTTGTAAAAGGCAATTAGTCTAAACTGCATTGCATGGGGTTTCACCTGTATGGTACTGCAGTTTAATTCGTTCTTGTATGTAAATAATCTATTCATTCACTTGGTATTGTTTTACTTGGATCGTCCGATTGATGTTTTAGGACTGAAATTGATCAGTCTCTTATTGGCATATGTGCATACTGTGGGTATGCCTCGATATTGCCTTAATTTACAAGCATTATGAGCAAAGATGGATAGTGGCTAGCAGTGGAATTCATTAGCTTTGAAAGATGACAGACGTTTGTCACACAACCGAAAAATTTCATATCATTGTTAGCGAGTCCGTCTATTACTAGTCGTGTTGACTAGTTCATCACTATATACCTAACATGTTCTGCAAACGTGGTTGAGTAACTGACTGGCTGAAAAGTTTATCCAGTGTTAAAGCTGCTTAAACTGCCAGTTTTCAACAATACCAACTAGTGTATTATAAATATCAAAATTAAGACTGAAAAGGAAGATACAAATTAAAAATCCAAAAATCTGAACTATGGAGGGTTTGTAAAAGATACACAGCATAAAGAAATTTTATGAAGTATGACATACCTTCAGTAACATCCTATTCTTTACCGCGTCTCGCATATTATGGCGTCACAATTAGAAGTCAGATTAATAGTATAAGCCACTGTGACTATTTTTTAAGACTTGATCACTACTTACTTCATTTTGTCACACGTTTTCGCAAATCATAATCAAGCGAACTAAACTTACTTAGCCGTTTTGATTATTCCAACAACACTTGATTAATTTTAGTTTAGACTACTACCTTTATGCTCTATTTTAGCTCTGTGACAATGAATATCAAACCTTTTGACCAACCTGTCTTCCTACTGGTTTTTTTTGGATCCCATTCCTTTTAATAAACTACTTTAATATTGATTTTTCGAAAGTTTAAGTTCTAATTATACAATGGTACTTAACTTTACGAATGCCTTGCTCTAAAACAGAATCCCTGTTTTTACTGGTGTAAAGTTGATTTAGTACCTCTGAATGTTCATCCACTGCTTACTGAGACGTGGTATGCTATCGAGCAAATTAACACTGAAAATGTTTATGGGGTTGTTGTTCAACTACAAGTCGTTTTGATGACCAGTAATTGTTCCTATATTTCTCCATTTAATCTACTGTTAGTGATACCATTTATAAACCTGAATGCATATACCTCACAAAATAAATATTTGTTTCTCACAATCTTACATATAGATTTTGTTAGTGTATGTGAAACTGCAACAGAACCACCTAATGAAGAACCTGGTCATATTAATTCACCCCAGCGTTTGGCATTAGAAGCTACTTTTATAAATACCAATTTATCTCAACAAATGCTACTGATGGTAAGCGATACCTAGTTTCTATTTGAGTTTCAGATTTGTAGTTCTACGAAAAGAGTAAAGTACTAATAGTTGGCAACTTTTAAAAAGTGCAGATTCCCGTCAAATGTCCAGCCAAAACATATGACATCACTTATAGCATCTGATTCCTCCGTGTCTCTTTTTTTCTCTTCTCAAATTTATTTCACTGGACTATACTCCCTGAATAACATCTTCAAACCCTAATCTTTCCGATTACTGCTTATACTCTTTCTACCTCTACCACTACGGGATTTGAATCGACAACTGCATCTCTGTGCTAAAGTGGTGTGGCAACTCGAGCTGATGTACGTACGTACTAAGTTCTACGTTGTTACTGACTGACTTACCGACTTATAGAATAATATCCCGACCCCTTTATTCAAACTTCTGAAGACACTTTCTAATATGCGATTAAATCAGATGGTCAGATTTCATTGTTGACTAACTGAATAATCTTGGTCATACCCCATATTTGTGACTCAAATTCCCTAAAATGCAAGCTGCCTTTTTTGTGAATATTGGGCTTTAAGGTTTACCAGATTACTCATTATTTCACACTTTTCATCGCTCATTACTGTCATTAGAGTTATCACTGTTTAATAATAAGAAATATAAGCTAATAAAAATCAAATAGACTCGACCATACGACGCATATGATAAAGTTACTTGATTTCCTTTATTATTCAGAAAAAGCGATATCGTATATAATTATGTTTTCACGAAACAAATTGAAAGTTTATTTTCGCTGGCTATCTATCGCTCAACCAAAAGTCACCAGTACCCGACGGATTTAAGGTGTCGTCTTACCAAAGTAATATATAAAATAATTAATCTGTTGTCTTCAGCTTAATGGAAAGCAAGCGCTCATTATGTTACTACATTACTTCACCTTAACCGCATACACGGCGGTTGTCATAAGCCAAAAAATTGAAGACGTCGTATACTGAAAATGGACATCTATTCAAACGTTTGATGAGACTTTTTCATAAATCATTTGCATTACCAAAACTTCCCATTAGGTTCTACAATATGCCATTATAAACGGGTAAAACGAAGGGAGTATCACAAAATAGTTCGGCTAATCGTTTATTTCCCTTCAATCACTCAGTACCTAGCACTGTCCTCGACTTTCTTTTTCAATTTTTGTTGTGAAGATCCAGAAAATTCCTCGAGAAAAGCCAAAAGGGTTCTGAAAACACTGAAAAACGTATTTTTCAGTCAGCATTCATTAGAAGTTTTGCCAGAAACGTCTAGAAATTGGGAAATCACATATCGTGTTTCTGCTTGGATGATTGCCCATACTGCTACTATGTTTAGTAGCGTTCCGGAATTTTCCAGGAGCCCAAGGCCATCCAAAATAATATAAATACCCTAGATTTTCCGTACATAAACGAACCTTGTTGTAAAGTGTTTCTTCCGCACTTCGCGCCTTTTCCCTCGTGTTCAGGTTGCTGTGTATATTTAGCCTAGGGGTTATTAGAAGAGCTTAGTAACCGAATTTAGCGTTCAATTAGATGATTTATCACTTTTGGCTACAACTGTTAACACTAGTTAATTTAACTCAATATTTTTACTATCTCTTTGAGTTAATAAGTTATTGTAAGTCTAAACAAATTCTGTACTAAATGTGGAAATCAGTGTGATTAACAATTTTTTGGAGCCTAAATATCCATTTATGTCCAGTTAGAAACAAGTTCAGGTATAGCTAGTATTAAATGAGATATCAAAAACCAGTGCTATGAGTGATAAGTATTCTTTTCAATAAATTCTCATCAGATCTTACAGCTATTACTTATGTTTTTGACTATTATTTTTCCATAAGTGTAAAACCACATAAGAATGTACTAAAAAGAATCTTCCATTCACTTCTGTGTTTTAATCAAAATAAAGCTATGGTTCAATGTTTGAGATACCCAAATTTCGATCATCCATTCACTGGTTTGAAACACATTTTCTATCTGCTGAAGTTTGATAGTTTTGTGCTATCTTAGTTCTTCATATTACAGAGAGTATAACTCAAAATTTATTACAAAAAGCTGAATATATTGTTTACTTATTTTGTTATCAATCAGCTGGTTTTCAATCAGATATGTCTTACACATACCGTTACACCAGTATGTTATTCTGGTTGTTGTAAAAATTTTTGACGGGCAATAAGTATAAAATTGAATTAATCTAAATAAATATGGTTGTTTATCGTTTATATTGGAAATTTAAATTCATAGAATTATATCCTGTTGTTAGGGTGGTAAAACATATTCGTTCCCTGAAGAAAATCCTTTCAAAGATGATGAAGAGGAGGATGAGGATAGTCCAAATCCATCTCAAAACAAAAATCACGAAGGTGGTAAAGAAGAATTAGGTTCTGTGGGATATCGATATCGCATATTTGATTTGGGAAATGATGTTCAAATGGTTATTCGTTGCGAAGTGAATGGTGTACTTCAACCGACTAATGATGATCAGCCAGCCAGTCCACAATTCGTATGTATACGCGCATTAAATGAATTTGATTCACGTGTAAGTTCCAGTGTACTCTTTTTACGAACATTTATTTTTCATTTTTATGCAGTAACGAAAAGAGCTGATCATTACAAAAAGAATTGGGCATAGAAAATGACTATCATAAAGCATCAATAAGATAGCCCAAATACTCTGATTAACTGTCCAAATAATCACCTGTTTTGAAAATTATTAAACCTCATATAGTTTTTATGTAAAATATTTGTGGTTTCTTCCGACTGTTAATTTACCATATCAGTCCATTCTTAGGACGATAATATTCTGATCCTGATATACTCACTAAAAATGCTTCAGAAATCACTAAAAAACACGTTGCTGTGATTTTAGCGATCTCTCGTATGATCTTAATTTTTCTCTCACACTTTTTCATACGAATATCATGACAAAGTTACATAAGACTAAGAGTCTTCATATTGTAAGTTAAAACAACATATCAAGGCAGACAATTCTGTTTCCAGTTAAACCATCAGGCTTCAATATACAATAATATTTGCATGCATATATCAAATTATTAAAACTAATCAATACAATTTGAGTCAGTGATAACAGTGGAATAGATTACATGAATAAACATAATAAATAAAAAAGTGCAAATTAATAGTGCGATGACAGGTAAACTATGGTTCTTATCCTTGCTGATTTTTCTCTCGAAAAACTAGAAAACGGACCTCTTACACAGGTTATTGATAAGCTTGAATTTTATTACCGTTGGTCACAAAACATTGCAAAAGGCAAAACCACCACTATTTCATCATTTTTTCTGTATTATCAAGGACAAAATGAATGTTTACTGTAAATTTTAGAAGTAAAAGGAGAGAAATATCTAAAGATACCATCCGTTTACCATTTGAATTTCTATGTTCCACCTTGGGAACGATATCGAAAACGTCCGCAACGCTTCTGTTTACGACTAATCTGTGTAGAAGATCGAGGACTCTAACCAACCAATAGTGATTTAACAAATAAAGAATAAGTCATTTGGTTTTGCTACATCCATGTGTATCGACGAATCCAGCTGCTCATGTGAAGAAAGCCATACTGAGGTACAACAAGACAACCAATCAACAAGTTGATGAACAGCTCGTTTCGTGGTTGGGAAAGGATATGAGAAAAGCAATACATAGCTGTGTTCTGTCACAATTGATCGATAGCGATCATGTGGTAGAAAGAAACAAATCATTTGAAGTAATTTACCGTATACCTACCTGCTTTTCTTATGGGGTTAACCTTGTATCTTATACAGCGGAAACGACAGGGATTCAAGCAAACAACCCAATTCTTTGTGTTCATAACAAATTTGTAACACGCTTATCTATTTCTTGACAGGATTAGTCTTAACAAACTATTATGTCATCATTTTCCATACCCTTTCAATTACACACTTCACTGTCTAATTATTGTGTAATTTTAATATTTTTTAGTGAATGTTATTTGATTGTCTACTTCTTCAAGCCGTTGATCTACTTTCGATTAAGAAACATTGATTCTAGCTTTTATCATTCTTATCACATCTAGTACACCTGCCATATCGCACTATTAATTTGTACTTTTTTATTTATTATGTTTATTCATGTAATCTATTCCACTGTTATCACTGACTCAAATTGTATTGATTAGTATTAATAATTTGATATATGCATGCAAATATTATTGTATATTGCAGCCTAATGGTTTAACTGGAAACAAAATTGTTCGCTTAAATATGTTGCTCTAAATTTGCTTAGTGTCATTAAATTCACACACTGAACCATATCCATCTTTTTGAAAAATTGGTTTAACACCAGTCTTTTTATCCTACGATATGTTTTGAGGGATCATTTACCTTTATACCTTCTCTTAGTTTTTCGATGTCAGTAAAACAAACGAAGGAATATCAAATAAGAACTTTCATCTAAATCTGATCGGATAGTCTCACAGTATTTGGGCACCGAGTTGATGTGAGACATTAAAGAGGAAGAGTGTATTTGTAAAATCTCAGCGAATGAATTTGAAGTAAAGATATTTCCTTGACAAGGCTTGGACCAGATTGCCAGGCGAAACCTTGGATTTACTTCAAATTCATTCGCTGAGGTTTTACAGGAAGAGTATTGAGTTTATCAGTTCTTAGTGTCAATCAATTTTTGTTTTCGTAAGTTTTTGAAACTAAACAAATCAATATAACATTCTGTATGTGTTATTCACTCAGTATTCTGTGACGGTGAAATCGTCCAAACAAAGAACCCTGCAGTTAAACAATAAAACAATTTATCGTATAATAATAATAATGATAATAATAATCCTATGTTATGTGTCTTTTACGAAATTTTTCCACTCTATTGACATCTTTTTTCTCAGTATTGTGGTGGTGTCGACTGGCGTACTAAACTTGATACTCAACGGGGGGCTGTTTTGGCCGCTGAGATAAAGAATAATGCCTTTAAATTAGCTGGATGGACTGTCTGTAGTATATTGTCAGGTGCGGATCAATTAAAATTGGGGTACGTTACTGCTTATTGTGATGAAATGTTGCACTATATGGGGCATTCTAATTATTATAAGTATCCTCTATTCCTCTACTGCTGATTCGCAGATTTGAATTCTATGTTATATCGTTCAGATTGTCAAACAGGTAATATTACGAACTCACTTAATGATTTGAACATAGTAACTCAGTGTTATTCTAGTATACAAGGACCTTAGCAACCCCATAGTATAGTAGTCTTTCAGTTACGGTTATTATGTTGAGCATGTGATAATGTTTTCTTGGCTATCACACCAATGTTTATATGAATGGCTAAATCTCTTACACTAAAACGGATTCAATTGCTAAGCTCACGAGCATCCACTTGTCTCTATAATTATGGTCGCTTACTAGTATTATATTTCTGTGGTGGTTTCAAAGAATGCTGATACTACTACTGGTGTGGATGTTTGTTACAAATGCATAAGAGCTTCCATTTACCACTTATTGCGTCGGAAACGAACTAATGCAGAGAAGAAAGCAAGACTTCACACTATGATTTAGTTATTCACCCTTTCTGATTAAAACTAACCCAGAAACAGCAATGGGATCTATGTCATTTTAAATATCTCGATCCTGGCTGCTACCTTTACGTAGTAGTCGAACTTGCCTGTCGTTATGACTCAACCCAACTATACAACATGAAACACATGTTCCTCTAGGCCCTATCACGTCAGGCAGGTCGGTTAAAAAACGGCAAGACTAAAAGTATCAACTTAAAGTCTGAGAGTGAAGTCTGACCGCTGATCGTACAAGGTGATGACAGCAGTATGGTGTTTCCCCCAAACGTCTAGCATCTTCAACGATTTTGCCTTCTTACAACAAAGGAAAGAATAAACCTTAAAATTTTCACACCTGACCTCACGGATTTCGTCCCTAACATTAAGACCTTTTGAACTGCGGAGCCAACTCATCAACCCATAAAAAGGCTGCGCGCGTCCGACCTCAAAAAGTTGTCCTATGGGCTGTGCAATCACGCTCCCAGACCACCAAGACCGCCACTAATTCACTTTCCTTCCTAGTTCCTCCAAACAGAAATATCCCTTCACAATGTGGGCAGCCGAGAGTTAACAACCGCCCTAACACCTCCATCAGCAACCGAGATCTTGTTCACAATCGAATTCCTCCATCACCTCTTAATAATCCTTCCATCCTCACGACAACTCTTCTCATTGATCTTCGTCAACATGCCCCACCAACACTAATGATTTGAGTTCAAGAAACGTTATTCTTGGTCTCCTGAAGCCACTCTCTAAACTACATGTTGGAGCTTTTAATCTTCGAAACTTGTGTAGGATAGGACAACAGACTTCTTGAGCTAGGACTATATAATTCCACGTCATCGATGTATGCTGCGTCTCTGGGACGCGCATACAGGGTCCAGGTTCGGTCACTCATCAGACCTCACATTGTCATTATAAAGGAACGGCACGACTTATTGTTCGAGTATCTGGACACTCCACTGCTATTTCCTTTTGCCTCACTGGTTTAGGTGTAGCATTGATTTCTAAAACAGAACAGGCTCCCTTAGACTATATTCCATTTAGCAATCGCTTCTGCTCTGTCTGACTAAACGGGGAAGTAAGAACTCGAAAAGATAGAGACACGCCGTTGCCTTTTCATTGTCGCTGCCTTCGCTCTCATTCATTGCCGCTCGGGTGAAGTTAACGCCGAGATTTACGAGCTTTTCAGCGCTCTGATTTAGTACTAATAGCAGGTAATTTTAATGAGTGGAACACTCCTATTAAGAATAGAGGCTATTCCCATGTTACTATTATTTTTGCACCACGGAGTAGATAGTGTCTGGGTCAGGAATAGAGTATTAGTTGAATATGCAAATCGACTGTTGAGGTAAAAGAAAGTTTGATCAACTCAGGCGGTTCGGACATGTGCTATGTATGCCCGACCACCGTCCACCTCGACGCACAATGTTGTATGGTGTATGAACAGGTTGAAAGAGAGCTAGGGTCAGTCAAACTAAAGCATGGCATTAGTCCATAAAGTCATTGAAAATTGGACTGAGTCATTATGGCAGGAGTAGACTACTTGGTTGGGGTTTGTGTGACTATCGTAACCAATGGTTAAGCTTTAAATGGCATGACTCAAAATCGTTCTTTGTCTTACCCCGAATTCTGAGCTTTTGATTTCACCTACTTTTATTTTCTTAAATCATAAATTCGATCCTTAGTCTTTTAAATCACCACTAATAATGTTACTACTTGAACTATTTTTTGGATTTGGCCTGAAAACTTCATCTCTCTGTGCTAATGAGGAATGTCAAATTAAATGGATTTACATATCCTCCAGTTTTTACTTTGTGATCTACTGACTGACATTTTACATATTCGGTTAACTGATCATTTTGAGTGCATGAAACTAGCGGTAGCTTCTATTAATTGATGTGTAATTAATTGTGTATGTGTATAATTTTCAACAATAAATTAACTGCTTTCTCTAAGAGTTACAAGTCGTTACTGAATTATATATTGGATTTCTCAATAGCTTCCTATTTTTCTGATGGAAATGGTTTGCGTCTCGAAAATTATGTCAGAATCTACCAAAAGGTTTAATAATCATATTTTAGTCGTATGATTTAAAACTTAGTTACCGAAATGTAGTTTTGTGTACTCATCTACTACTTCTCGAATAGCCAGAATGAAGTTTGTTGAGCGAAGTTCGAACTTAAAACCTAATGTCTGAACACATAGGCTGTCACCACTGAGCCATCGTTCATAGCTTTTATGTTTTTGTATAAACTAAAGAACTTTAGTCCATATTTTTCGTGCTGCATTCAAAGTTTATATTAATTATGGTGTTAAATTTCAAGTCCTTTTTAAGAACTTATTGTAACTGTAGTTAGTTTCCTATAATAATAATTATTTCTGAAAAGGTGTCTTTAAACAGTAAGAATTTACCCATGTTATAGATGTCCCATTTTTCTTCTGTTTGTCAATAGATTGACTGTCCAAATATTCTTTTTGCCATGTTAATAGCCTTCTACATCCGGTATCTACTATAATTCGAACGTTCCATATATGTTGATACGTAATAATGTTATTCCGCATCCACATTTCGAATGTTATTACATGTTTCTTCTTAGTATCTTATGAATGGATATTTTTTACACATTTTCTTACCAATCACATTATAAAAATTATCAGTTATATTCCTTATTGTTTGAATTTTAAAGAACTGTAGATCTATTTTTATCGTGTATTTCAATCGTATATTTTCTCAGTAATCATTGTCTTATTTTTTTGTAGATTTGTATCTCGCGTCAACCCCCGTGACTCATCTCGTCATGTCATATTGGGCACACAACAGTTCAAACCATCGGAGTTCGCCAATCAGCTGAATTTAAATATGGATAATGCTTGGGGTATTCTGCGATGTGTCGTTGATTTCTTCATGAAAATGCCTGAAGGCAAATATCTAATGTTAAAGGATCCTAATAAGGTTTGTCGATGTATATGTAAATTGTATCTTTGGTTTTATTATCTCATTACATTTTCACTTTATTTTTTGCTTAAACACACATTCGATAGCCCCAATATACTATCGGAAAGAGAAACAATCAGTAGTGTTTTTGATCAAGTAAGGAATAACGTTCTTTAAGGATTATCAAAGATTGACGACAAATAGCTCGGAAATTTACACATCGATAGTTCGATGTCCTTTGTGTTTGTTCATTGTCTGCGAATGTTTAATACTCCGTCGCCTAACCCAGTGACAAAAAGTGTGTAGTGAGGTTCACCGAAGCACATCTTACAACAAAGATAAGTGTCGTACAAGACAATTTTTAATGATCTAAGAATAATTCTTAGCATCCCTGGAAACCAAGCTGATAAACATAACAGAGTAATCAATAATAAGGAAGCGATAGTAATTACAAGTAATATGGTTTGACATGATATTAATTTTTTCACGGTTATTAGTAGAATTCGTACGACTAACTGTATGCGCTTACCTACCAGCTCATTCTATCTTGTCTACTTGACTGTAAACTGTTGATATTCAAGTTAAAGTCGATCTCATCCCAGGCAAAATAGTAATGTTGTTTATCATAACCAGCATGTCACTGACCGAATACAAAAGAACAAGAAAGGAAAAGTATAAGAAGATTTTGGAAGGCAAAAAGTCAATGTTTCACTGCTACTATGAACAATTTTGAACCGTGTTACACAATCTCTAACCATTGTTTAGCATAATCATGCGAACCCCAACCAGGTAGTCTGCATATACATATATGGGTCAGACCATTTTTCAATGATTATGAACCTGTGACAGATTTGTTTCTAGTGGCTCCTAACTTCAAACATATTTTGAACACCAGCCATGAGTACGCATCGAGGTAGGTGGTGGACAGGCATTTATAATCCACGTTCTTACTGTATGTAGATTCACTGCTTCGATTTGCTGTGTTTGACAGACTGCTTTAAGGTCAAGTAATTTACCTATGGTTGGGAGTCACTAGTTATGTGTGTGTCCCACAACCTGGCAGAAGGCGGAATTTCGGTTTGCACATCCACATTCATGTTCGAAACCAGCCTTGTTTTTATGTCAGGAACCATAGTTTAGCGTTGAATGATTACTGAAGCTCATGTTTTAGGTACTACCTTAGTCAAACTGATTGTTCTTTGATTCTCACGAATGGATTTTTTTCCTTTTATCGTAAAATGGAACGATCAGTGATGGAGACCAGTTAGATACGATTGAGTCTAGTTCCTAGACTCTGGCTAGGATCTCATACGACCTAACGGCCATGACTGGACCGCTATAGTTAAGGATCTTTAGGGTTAAGCTATCAAGGCTTTTCACCCTCACTTTAGATTAGCTATGGGTTATATTTCCTTAGTTTTCAATGTGTTTATGTCGATATCCCATCCAGGTTGCTTGGCGGAAGTAAACAAGTGAAGGGTATCTCGAGAGTTGTTAAACTTTTCAGAGTTGTCTCGATTGTTTCGGGTTGGATCACTGTGTCATATTTTTCAGAACTAGTCTCATCAACTTCCAAATCCTTAATATCTATTACATTGATAAGTCAGCCAGTCTCCACTGTTCTTCCATCTGCCACAAGGTTCGAATATTGAAATTTCTTATATGTATTTTAAAGGACTTTTTCAAAGGAAAAGAGATAACATTTCGTTTTGTCAAATCATCCGCATTTGTGACTCATGATAATAAAGATGTGTGAAGAGGGTTGGTCGTGAAGACAACTGAACTAGTAAGAAATGAAAGGGTTTTTTAGGAACAGGAAGTTCTCGAGTGCTGTATTAGGTAAATTTGCGGTAGCTACTCCGTGACAGCTCACACTAAGAATATTTTTACTGGTAGGGCTATCAAAGGAATTGGGCCGGTGATCATCTTATTGACCTCGTAGCGTGACTATAGATCCAAAAAAAGATAACTGCTTAAAACCAGTCGGAAACGGCATTCTATGAGATATTTTCCATGCTTGGATTCTGTTTACAAAGATAATCACTTTCTTTATTTTGTGCATATATGAGGTCGACTCTGAGTATGTTAGTGCTGTTCATTTTTTCGGTCAAATAAGATCTTCGAGTCATTCAGAGTCAACTTGATTCACTATGGAAAGATGTTCAAAGTGTGATATCAGTGCCTGTCGATGACATAAAAGGTGTATTTACCGCGGTGAATATTTAAAATATTTGCTTTTTGTATTGTGTTTATTAATCATTGGAGATTTTGGCTGATAGAAAATTCCTTATTTATATTTCACTGTTTTTAGCCTGTACTTCGCATATACTCTGTACCTCAAGATGCTTCTGATTCAGATGAAAGCGAAGATGGTATAAGTGAAGAAGAAGCAGTTATCGTTGAACAACAAAACTCTGAACCAAGTAAGACAGAAGTAAATAACATGTCAGGACATAGTCAAGACGGTATAGAGGGTCAGTATAAAAATACTGAATCTGTCACTCAGTTAAGGACGACTGAGCCTACTGAATCGTAACGCATATGCTTGACAAGTATATCCGAAATAAATATTTATTAATAATTGCGCTTAAAATTTTATTCCATTACCGAACATGTTATTTTCAACTTGGTGTTTTATTATATATATATAAGCATTACGCGTAAATTTCTGTTACTTAGTTGCAATAATCCACGAACTGCTCAGAATGGTTTCTTTTTATTTTAATGTACAACTTTCTATTCAAACCGAGATGACCATATGCTCTCAATTTGTGTGACGGTCTTTCCTATTCGTCATTTGTGCCCACTTGAACCAAGCAGTCACAAATCAGAATACGATTTAAGACTAAATAAACACTAAAACGATATAGTTAATTTTAACTGAACTATAAATGTTCTTCACCATTTTAAAATACGTAATATTATTTAGGGTAGTACACTTTTCCTACGTCATGCTTTTTAGGTGTTACATTGTTTCATTTTCCATCATTTTTAAATGAGGATTCTGATTTCCCAGAAGAAGAAAAAACAAATTACCAAGGCCTGCCAAGTTTGGTGATTACGATGGGTGATTTAACTTTATGATTGAATTGTCCTAATCTTTTTAAAAATGAATTAAATTCTGGCACTTGTTGGAGAACTGTTATCGCTTAGTAGCTAATATAATAAAACATATAACCAAAGCCAAGTTTTAGGAATTCAAGAGGGAGGTCGATTATGAATACAGTGGTCTTTAGTGCTGTTTGACGTATGAAGGCGGTTATCACTTCTCGGTTGCCCACACCGTGAAAGGGTTCTTCTGGAGGTACCTGAAAAGGAAGTTGGATTAGAGGTCATATCGTTATAACATTTATTGCATTAGCTAATCAATTAAGTTGACATTATACAACAAACAAAGTAAAGACGCTTTATAGATGCTGTGTTGTGACTTAAAACTAGTAGTCAATGAATAATTTAAATGAATGCTGTACATATTTATAATGTGTAAGATAACGGTACACGCATTAATTATTTGTGACTGCTGTCTTACGGGTAGTAACACAAGAAGTAAAGGTACTCCAAGTAATATCGCTACTGTGATACCTGGACTTTAGTCAGGTACTCAATTGGGGACCTTGTCACATTCCTGAACGTCGGTACAGAGGACATGATACCTAGAGGATAGCTTTGCAAGCAACATATCAGGATAATCAAATGTTTGGTCTTGAATAAACATCTAGGCAAAGCTATGAGTTTGGGATGGTTAGATTATCTAATTACCAGCTCGTAGTTGATGTGTGCGATCAAGCGCTAATAGTGGGTTTGAAGTGAGGCACAGAACACCTGTTGAGTCAACTAAGAATAATCCTTTGGGTTAATAACCAAATGAAATTTACTGACCTCAGAGTCTGTTCTAAAGGTGTGTGACGGTGAAGATCTTAACAACTTAGTACGAACATTTGGTTACTGCATCCGATTTGACTAACGATTGGGAAATTGTTGGTTGAATAACTGTGTGCCTGTGTTTATTTCGAACCATCATTTACCACTAGTCTAGTTTCTTCTATCAATAGCACGGTTACCTATCGATACGAAGGATTCTGACCGTAGCTCTTTTATGGCATCGAGAAATAGACGATACGCCGAAGTATGATTAAATAGATGTTCTGAGGCCAAGCTAGGAGCCAAATTACAAGCTGACTTCAAATGTCTTGACAGATTCATTATTAGGGAAAAGTCCACAAATCAGGGAATATGTGCACCCACAGAGGTGTGAAACCTAACACGGGTTCAGGAAAGGCCTATCCCGTGTGACAACCTCCGAAACTACCTAGAGGAAGAAGCCAAGACAAACTCATCTCTCCGCTTAATACAAGGAAGACTTGACGCAAACAAAACAGAATTATTCCTGACACTGCTTGAAGTCCCCAATGTTGTCCCGATTCTCTTTCCAAAAGATGTGAATCTCGTATACCAAGTACAGGAATGGGCCAAGAAGTGGGCGATAGAACTAAAACCGAAGTCTCACGAGGACAGACTCCAACACTTGAGATTATTCTTATTGAACCACAGGAGAGTAAGGTGATTTGACCATAGCATACAACATATTAACTACACTAAATCACACCAAAACGAGCGTATTAGCAGAACATCATCACGACGTTCCTCGAGGCAACCGTCGGAGAATTACACATCAAAGAACGAACACTCAGGTGAGTTTCCACCTTTCCTCATCAGGAGTTGCTCTCATTCGTAATGCCGTAGCAGCCGAATTGCCCATAGCCACATCAGTGGATAGCGTCAAGAGACTTGACAAACACATACTCACCCATGGATTACGATCTGATTCCTAGATTATCTGTGTCTGATATATGTCCGATAGTTTACCACTGTTATCATTACCGTGTATCAATAACTACTTCCTTGTAAACATCTCCATCTCCCCTCCTATCCTTTCAATTCCGTCTTCTTACACATTACCAATTTAGTGAATGAATTATTTGTTACCGAAACAATCGTCTTCTGTTAGCAATCGAGTTATCACTTTATTATTTCACATTTCAACCAACAAACCTCCTATCTGGTAATATGATAGATATCTGCTGGCATCCAGAAACCTACTGTCCTGAGACAAACACACTCAATGAACTTTGAAGTATACAAATCCACAAATAGCTACCACACTGACTGGAATTAGTGTAGTCGAGTGTTTAGACTACCACTTATAGGACATTAGGAAATATCCGAAACATCAAGAAATGGGCGCAAAGAAATCAAACTGCCTATACAAGTTTGTGACTAAGATATTGGATATTGTATATGAGAAGGTTGCCCAAACTGACCTCTAGATCATTCTTAATTCAGGGTTTTTTGGTTTGTAGCGTTAGTGCGGTATTTTCTTCTGACCTGTCTCATTGCGCGGTGAGTTTCGAGTTGTTTTGTAATAACTTAGTTATACAATATTATGTGATGTTAAATGGCGATCAGTTACAGGTGTTAATAAATTAGGTAGTAGTAAATCGCGGCTTGCATGTTAACTCATGTTACGTCTGGTACCGGGTGAGACGTATGCAACCTTGTACCATGGTGCATGTATATTAAAATAAGCCGTCTTATGTGTTTTGCTATCTGTCCTTGCCATTTTTATTAACGATATTTCCCATAATCTGCAGTCTATTCTGACACGATAACCGTCATTGTACGAGAAGCCAGTTAGTCTTACAGCGCAAACGTTTTTCCCTTTAGAAACGGCTCATCATCTCCCGGACGTTAAGCGATAGTCGATTATTTAAAATAAGGATAAATGCAAAATGAAAAGAGAAGACACGAATAGCTATTCGATCTTTGCTTACATTAATTGTTAGCCTATGTGTATTATTGTCGTCAATGTCCATATTCGCTAGTGGTTGATGTTTTAACAAGTTTATTTGATTGAAGCATGTAAGTGCTTTTAGAGACTATAGTAAGTGCTACGAAAGCTTGTTAATATACCATCCTAACTGAACATAAATATAATTGATTATTTGTATTGATCGCGTAATTAAGCTGAGTACTTAACGGTGTTACAGAACGATAGTTCACGTTAGCATTATTCAACAGAGAAATAGAAATGGATGAGTATGTCAATTACTAAGAGTTCGGTTTTAGTGCTATTGTAATAATAGATATCATGCTAAAATTGTAGATTTGTCGTCATGTGACTACCTCATTTATAAGATCTTACGTGGAAGTCACATTATAATCTGCACTAACTCGTCGTATCATGATAATCAGCAATATGTTTAGTACTTAAAAAGAACACATTTTAACATCGTTGAACGATGCATGTTTGTTTCAAGCATGGTAACTAAACCATTTCGTTATGTCGTTATTGTATGTGAACCGTGAATTGTTAATATTACTGTAAACGTTGCAATCGGATTTATATCAGTTTTCATCTTAATCCTTAAAGTTATTGAACCGGTTTATTCGATGCTTGTAGTTTACTTGTAAATATCAAACGACTAAGTGATATTCTTGGAGGGTTAGAATATAAAGAGCACTGTTTACTGTCAATCGGAGATATGTTGCAGACTACAGTTACAATTTAGGATACTTCTCTTTAGAAGTATCCCAAGTTGAAAAAGAGTTAGAAGTTGGTACCCTACGATTTGAAGTCTTACTCTAACTGCGAGACGAATGCCTTCTGAACAAAATTTGCACTGGTAACGCCGAAGTGCATTTTTGGCCAGTTCGATGTTTTTATTCGTCTCCATTTACAGTACGTAGACAGTATTCCATCCCTCACTCCTAAATGATAAAGACACTCTGGAACGTATCCTGCGGTGAGCCACAATATCAGTTCAAATACTCAATTTCAAGTCTTATGGAGACTGATCCCAACTACTGAACATTCACGCATTACAGTACAGGAGTCTTAAAGGTGACCTTGTAGTGGCAAATAAATTCCCAAAATAAATAGCTCTGTAAGTAAGTCTCCGAAATTTGGTGCTGGCAACATTAGTTCTAATGGACTCACCTAGCTGAAGGCGCTCGGTCATGCATCCTCACCAGATCACGAGTGGCAACGCTGTGCTCAACATCATCTGCAATCGCTAGTCAGACTAAATCAGTCGATCCACGACAAATTGATAGTCTATCAAATATATCTTCGAACCTCCTCTCTTCTGTCTTTTGATTTCACTTGGTGGGTACGCTTCATATTAGGTGTTACTGGTTGAAGCGTTGTCAAATTCCAAATACCTGTGGCATCTTCAATCTACAGCATCATAAAAACTTCTCGGCATCCCCTTAAACTCCTATTTAAGTTTAGGTCCAACATAACCTAAGGGGTATCACCCAGATATCAGAGGCAGGACACAGCACAAAAAACTGTAGACCCAATTTCTACTCCTTTATGGTTATCAACTGCTGAAATTTGCTGCCGGTTGTGCTGATGCAAAAGACTTCCCAGGAGTACCTTAAAAGGAAACTTGACATGTTCTTAAGAACGAAAGATAATATCTTACTTTGGTTTTCCCTCTTTTATCGTTAATATACCCAGGTTCCTGTCTGGAGGTATTGTTGATCCACTGCTACTAGACACGGAAGACCATTAAGCGAAAGCTTCTTCTGTTCCATAGCACAACTATT